TATCGGGATTCCCTTTCGTGCGCTCCAAGCGATAAAAAAAACAGTACTGTAATCCCAATTCTTGCCGTGCGGTTTTGTAACAATTAAAAATTCATTTTTTAGTAATATCATAGATTAAATGGTAAAATCAAGTGGTTTGTCAACGGATGAATTGGTTTTTAGTATATGCCACCTAGTCACGCATCAGGTCACGTAACAATTGATGCAACAAACCCTATATAAAATCTAATGAATTATACAATGAATGTGTTCATAATAAAATGGGGTGGGTGAAAAATATTACGAACATCTAGTTTATTTACTCATTTGATTAGGGTTCGTTGAAGAGTACAGGGCGTTGAAGTACACAGGGCATTATAGTTTTTTCATAATATTGCCCTTCGTAATTGCAACATGCTCAATTTATTTAAATGCGTATCTTCTGTTCTGATTAATTTTGAGCAAAAATTCTTGTATGAATGCTGAAAGAAATTTTTTAATTCAACGAAGAAAAATAACAATAAATTCGTATCAATGCCAGTGTGTGGAAGTTTCGGTAATTATAATAATTTCGAATCAAAATTTTAAAGAATTTCTGACATATTCACATCAAGATATCGTACCCTGATGTACTTCAACACACTGTAACTCCTCAGTGTATACCATAGTTGAGGATATATAAACTTAGATATGTTCATTATATTTCTTTAATCACCAACAAATAAATAATAATGATGATGATGATGATGATGATGGTGATGATGATAATAATAATGAAAGTACCTTCCTGGTTGCCCAATTGTATTTTCATGTCTCACAGGGATATATGAATAACTAAAAATCACAAATATAATAATGATAATTTGTTAATGAAATAGTAGGTCCTACCTATTCTTCTCGAAATAGATATTTGATGAAAATTGTTAATATTGCTGTCATTTTCTATAGAAGTAGTAGTTTGGGTATAGTGCGGTACTTGTACTTAGTACACCTTTTCCAGTAGTATTTCAGAAAGCGTCAATTGAATTTCAAAAAGCTCCAATTGTATTCCAGAATAGTCACTCGTTTTTCAGAAAGTACCTATATCAATTGTATTTCAGAATAACCAATTGAAATTCAGATGTGTAATTCTAATGATTTTCTGAAATACAAATGACACTTTCTGAAATTCAATTGACTATTCTGATTAATTGATGCTTTCTGAAATTAAGTTGACCATTCTGAAATACAATGAGTGACTATTTTGAAAAACAATTGACGCTTTCTGAAATACAACTGGAATAAATATAAAATATATCAATGAAAAAACTGAATATTCGCAAAAACACTCGACTTTATCCATCAAGGAGATATATTCCATGAAGTATTCACTTCACTCTACTCTGTTTCACCACAAACCAACCGATTTTTTAAAACTTCGATCGAGACTTCGATACTTGTTTCGCTATCTATGTTATAGCATCATCTGGAGAAAACGCAATCTGTTCTTGTTCAGTTTTGATCGTTAAAGCTCTAACAATTGATGGTTAGTGGTAAAATAGTGTAGTGTAATTATCGTCTCAAAGCTTTCAGTCTTCGATATATAAGTATTCACTTATTATACACAAAATTGAATTTGAGTTCTTCGGGTCAGATTCATTCTGAAACCACATAGATGCACCGGTCCAAAAAGAAAGCTACAAGCAAATTTCGGGCTGCCAGGATATGAAACAATGGAGGATGGTACCTGTCCGTAGTTATACCTCTTTTTCGTATACCTACCATCTGACGTGCCACCCTTAATAGATACACCAGGTCATCTTTCGCATCAACGAAAACAATGCTCTAGAATTCAACATATGCTGTTTGGGAGTCATTGTGCATTAACTCGTTTCCGTTGGTATTGTTAATAACCGTGGTTCGTGATTACAAGGGGGCGTAAACATTCACGAAGTTGAATCTCGCACATGTGCAATGTGCATGGCAGACGTTTCTAGACAAGGATCACAAGAAGGTGGACTGACCGGGCCCGTAAATTGGAAAAAATCGGGATATTGATGACTCATTGAGAAAGATCAGGGTATGGCGGCGATTATAATTGAGTACCAGCGTTGTTGATCAAAGTAGGAGGCAACCTATAAGGCAATAACTGTTGATGGCTAGCCCAGAAGAGTATTTCTAGAACTACTTGTCTCAAACTAAAGGCCTCCTTATGGCACATTCCTTCGGAATAGAACCCTTTCGTGACTCAGCAATCATCCGAATTTGGGCGAGGAAACAAAAACATTAGTACTGAAAAATATAGGTACTTCAGATTGACAGAGATGAACTAAAATTCAGCTGTACTTATCAAAGTGTAAGTTCATCCTCTGAAAGCTAGATCATCCTTTCCATTCTTCAAGGCCGTTGCCCTCTGAGGAAGAGACGGTATATTCTATGCAGAAATGTGATGAGGTAACAGTTTGTAGGGAAAAACCTAGAGCGAAACCGTGCAAAAACGCAATGGTGGTTCAAACAAATCTTGTTGAGGACTGCTTGAAAGCCATGAAAGATCTTGGTAGTCGAAACAGGCTTATCTTAGGCTGGGCAAAAAACCGAGAGCGAAACCGTGCAAAAACGCAATGGTGGTTTACACAAATCTTGTTAAGGACTGCTTAAAAGCCATTAAAGATCTTGGTAGTCGAAACAGGCATATCTTAGGCTGGGCAACCAGAGTTTGAGGACAATGAAGAAACTGATTCTCTAGCCCGGAAAGAAGCAAAAAAGGCTATGGATGGGCCAGAGACATTTCAGAAAACAGGCATCAAAACATATAGATGCAATGAAATCCCAAGAATGGTGTGAAATAACTCTTCGAATAGTTTAAAGAAAAATGTCATCATTCACAAAAGATCCACTAAGTCATAAAAGGAGTGCAACTAGAATAATAGGAGGAAGAGGAAGAAACTGAAACCTGACCAAGAGCTCGCAGATACATGCACCACGTAAAAATCAGCCTCTAGTATCTTAGATATAGACAAAGAACCCTTTGAATGATTTCGTAGCTATCAGAAGAGAGCTTGTCGAGACTAAAGACTATCGCTAGGATAAGGAAAACCAAAAGCTTTCACATACGCAGAATTGAGAAATCAGCCTATGGAGTAGACACGCAAATGAACAAAGAACTCTAACAGTTTCGAGGCTATGAAGAATCCATTGCATTTGATCACTTATCAAAATAGCTAGATGCAACGGGAAAAAACAATGGAACGGTTCAGGATTTCTCATGTATATGGTTTCAAATCACAGTCTCACATTCGAATACCATTTTCACCTGCCATTAAAAATGAAGAAGAAGATCCAAAGAATCTAAATTGAATCTTGATTGGTAATCGATCAAGTGAGTTGGATATCGACTATGTGACACATGAACTACGTGAAATAAATGTACACATTTCACATTATGAAAAATTATGTTTCCATTGGTATGGACTGTCTTGACATAAACACCTTTTCATATTCGAATTTGAACAATCCTGTCTGACTATAATATTACTCACACAAAACTGATTAACTAGAGGGACTAGAATATTATTATTATTGAATTGCTAGTTCTAAATCTTGTCAGTTTTTATCTAAGATTGTTTTTTAAGTTATAACACGTAACACGTGCCAGTTTACTGACAACCAACCAACTGATACAAAATAGAAAATCACAAAAGTAATCAATGCCTAATGATGCAGGCGCTTACCACCTGACGCTGCCTTCAACAATCATCTCGAGAACCCAAAAACCAATTTTCATCTTGACCATCTGTTCAACCCACCGGGACGTACAGGCCTGTTCATATCAAAGATAAAAGACTTTCAGCAGGTTTCCTAAAGTGAACTGTATCATGCAAATAATTTCGGAGATGGTTTATACAATGTGTTTCAAAATAACGTTCATAGTTCGTGAAAAGTTTTCAACATTCTAGAGGATAACTCCGCAACTATTGCTGCTATTGATTCAAAAGTGTTGTACTTTTTAAAATGAAAAGAAAGAAGAAGCATTCTTTTTAGGTTTCTATTCACACTAGCCTTCATTAATAATTTTTTTAAGAATGATATCACGATGCAAGATATTTCTAAAATCTCGAACAAAAAAATGGGGCATTTTGAATGATATTAAGTGAGTACCATAAAGCATAAAGGTACTAATTGTCATGGTTTTAGTACACATAGATATTCAAGAAATTAATGAAAATACTGCGCTCTTTTCTTCATATTTTTAGGCGCTAAAATGCGAGCGATATTTTGGAAATAGTTATTTTTCTACAAACCTCAAAAACGACAAGGTTCACACATTAATATGACATAATGCGATGCAAAGTGACCATTTCTTCATTTGCTAACGTTACCACGATACCGTGCACGAAATAGTATGCTTAACAATAATCGAGACATTTTAAGCCAATTTTTTTTATATGAGGCTAAGCATACTAGCTACTTATTTTATATAAATGTTGTTCGACGTTTGTGGGAAAAAACAGTAACTCGTGCACGAAATACTTTGATGATCCAGAAGAGGTTTTTTTATCGAGGCACTGCCGAGCATTTCGCACACTAGATAGCTATTGTTTGTATGGCAGAATATCTCTCAAGATGTCACATTCCTTCTGCTTCAATGATCAGTATTCATAGGAAATTGAAAAATTAGTTGAATGTTCGTATATATGTTTGCATGTAGTATGTGAGTTCATTGGTTTCTAACGCCTCCACAGATTTAAACTAAAGACGTATTTCAAAATGTTACTTTTATACCTACCAAGTATTTCAGTCCCTGGGATTCGTTTGCCGGTATAGCCCAACATTGCGTTCGATTTCAAAGACCCCGGTAGTCGTAAGCCGGCAGAAATCAGCGATCTCTTGGAAGTCGAATGATGAACAAGTGAACTGTCTTATAGTTTATCTTCTGTAGTCTTTATGATATTTACGAGATATCTTTGATATGAACAGTCCCGCAGTCCCGCATACTTATAGTGATCCATCGAGATGAATAACATCCTCGCCTTTTTCTACAGATCATCCAAACAGCATCAAAAACCCCACAGTCGACTACAAGTCGAATTCGTCTTGTAGCAGCCCTTCGAAAGATTTGAAAAATTCTACACACGATTGGTGCGGTACAAGTCATATGATGAACGAGGCGTTCGGCGGTCAAATGCCAGGCTTGCCAGTGAGGAACAACCTGAGGAGGCCGAATTCCTCACACTTTCCCCAGGTAAGACAACTATAGTAATTTATTATACATTGTACCATAAGGGTGCATCTATTTGTTAGGTACCGGCACCAATCGAATCGAAAGACTGTCTGTCGATCTAGCATGTACCAATCAGCGAGGAAACGATTTTATATAGTTGATAATAAAGGTGAGGGTTTCACGAGACTCTCTAAGTTCGAGATTTCTCGTCTCGTCTCGATTTCGAGACGAGATCGAGTCGAGACTAACTTCTTTTTTTCGAGACGAGATCGAGAAAAGCACTTCGAGAAATTATTTCGAGATTTCTCGATCTCGAAAAAATATATGTGCTGCAATAACTCACAGCTCTAAATACTCAAGAAATGAGAAAATAAAAAACTTTGCGAATAAATAATTTCAATTCATTTCAAACATAATAACAGAAAATAATAAAAAAATAACAAAGAAAACAAAGTAAATAAAAAGGACAAAGGTAGAAATAAATATCTTCATAGTCTTTAAGAACTTTAACGTCTTAAACTATTAAAAACTATCAAATACGAAAATCAAATTTGAACACAGAGTTTTTCAACAGAGAACAAAATTGTTGTTTACACACTTGTAAATATATCTCTGGTACATAGCCAAGAATTCAAACATAGTAAAAGTTGAGCCGATTCTCCCGTTAATCGGCTTCGTTCTTTTCTGATGGTAAGTGTTGCTCTTGAAAACAGTCTTTCTACCGGAACCGAAGTAGCTTGAATACTCAAAAAATCACGAGCCATCTTTGATAAATTCGGATATGGGTGGACAGGTAGCCGTGCGGACAGAGTGTCTATATTCTAATTCGCATTCGCTTGCCGGTCGTGGGTTCGATCCCCGTCGACTGCAGAAATTTTTCTGATGGCCCAAGAAAGTGTTTGGGATCACACGTTAAAAGGTAAGGCCCCCGTCATTCCTTGCTCGCACAAGACTTTCGAAGACTTTTGAGGGTTGCTCGTAAGGGGGCAGCCGAATGACGGATAGAACAAATTTTAGAACAAATATGGCCTCGTTTTTTCTCCACCACTCTAAAATATCTTGATTCCCTTCAGCTCTCTTAGACAAACAATATTCATCTATTTCTTTTCTCCAGTTATGCTCTCTGTTGCCGTTGCTTTTTTCGAATAAACTTTGCAAACTAAAATCGTCGCTATTGTCATCAACATCATAGTCAGTAAGAGGCTGCGATGTTGAAGGAATATCGTAATTGGAAGTAACATAATAAACTTCTTTATACAAGTTTTCGAATCAAGATATTGCTTGTTGCATCAAATCTCTTTCCCACTTCGTAATAATAATTAATAATGCTCAATAATTTTTTTTCGAGAGACGACTGTTTCGATTATAAAAATGAGTTTGTTGCTGTTGCTGTTACATTCTTCACGAACGAAGAAACAATTTTAAACTTTCACCTTTCGTACCTAGGTAAATTTAAAAGTATTCTTTATTTTTGTGCGGTTTTTTTTATACGTGGCTTTTATAGTTCATAGCATATAGCCTCTGTATTTTGACGTAATTTTTTTATAGAGAAAATTCAATACCCTGTATTTTGGTGCAGCCTCATAACCTAAACATAGCATTTTTTGATAACGTTCAGTTTTTGTTTTCGAGATCGAGACATTGTCTTCGAGAAAAACAACGAGACGAGAGTTTGTTTATTTCTCGTCTCGATGATCTGCCATCAGCAGAAATAATAATCTCCACAATAGTCAAGAGGCCAAGACATGAAATTTGCAATTAATTGAAAAACATTTAAAATGTTAAATTCAAAAAATATTGAAATGTATTGAAATACATCACCCATGCTGGATCAGTATGGATGGTAATTCCGGTTATACTAAGATGATGAGGTTAGGTCAAACATAATCTCATCATGTTTGCCGGATAACCCTTCAGGGTTATTCGGCAAAATTTTGAGAATATTGACTTTGACATTGACCTCAAGTTTTAGTAGCGCCAACTGGTGAGATTGGTGATAGTGAAAATGGCAGCCCTCAGTGGGATATAGTCAATAAATCAATCATGGATCAATCAAAGACATTCGATACGAATAAGTGTCACACCTGAACATTTCGAAAATTGTCAAGTTGAAGTGAACCAAGTGAATCCTACATTTTTTGTAATATCGGAGATGCTGCACGTGCGACCTATCGTCTAGAACGTTTAGAACTAATACCCGAAACGCTATATTTCCGTCAATGGACCAGAACATGTGACATGGAGAATTTAATAACCCAACATGTGTTTCCCTTCACAGGCCAGTCGGTTTCACTTCAGGAAAGGCCTGGCGTCGAAATGCACGTGGAAATGCACGGCCATTGCCTTCATCATGCTTTGCGTCGTCCTCACAGCCGCTCTATCCTACATCTCAGGTAAGAGAACCTTTTTTCTTCCATTCTTCTTAAGTATCTGTTCGATGGATTAGGGACGCTCCGATGATTATCAATGCCGAATCAGATTTGGTAGGTAGTTATATTTTTAATAAGGACGGTAACGAAGGGTCCCCCGGACCATGTTAAAAGTTAAGAGGGTAAGCTTCCAGGTCGACGTTTTGATTTATGACGAAAAGAAGTAGCACTCGAGAAATTGGCAACATACCTAAAATGCGAATCAGTGGCATAAGGCGGAAAGAACTGGAGTCAATTCATTAATACGATTCTCCCTTTGTTTGATTGACTGAAGTAGTTCAATTTCCTTAGCTTAAATCAGTGATAAAACACCATCATCAGGAAAACAATGAACAGAAATCAAGATCCTGTAGTGGTCAATACTCGCTCCAAGAGAAAAAATGCATTTTTCTGTACATAGCGTGATTACAGCATGCAATTTTTTTTTTTGATGTATGATAAATTGATATTCATCATACAGGACGTGGAAAGAAATTCTGAATTGAGAAAACCTAATTCCGAATCTGCTATTGAGGTCTATATAAATAACAAGTTTCCATCGTTCAAGCTTGAAACCCTTGATTGGGTGAAAGTATTGAGAAGGAATATTCTCAGATATATTTATGAACACAAAAAAATGGATATATATTATACAATGAAGTAATACATTGAGAATTCGCATTCTCCATGTGATGAAAATATTAACTCTTTCTCGGTTTATTCGACAGAAAACAACTACTTTCCTGGCTATATGCCACGACGAATATTGAATTACATCTATTGAACACACACACGATAAGAATTTGAAAACAAAATCTTCTGAAGTAGAGAATTTGCCTTCTCCTTCATAATAAAGATATGCATATACCATTCTGAATATTCAACAGAAAACAACTACTTTCCTGGCTATTTTCACCTTGGGTGAATGTTTCCTTCCGGGCGTTAGGATCTATATAATGCACTTGGTACATAAATAACTATAGTGGTGATGGTCAATACGCAGAACAAGATTAATTTTGGAATCCTAAAAGTGCACACCATGTTAAAGAATTTGATTTATACCTTGCATTCAAAACTGATTCGTAGACAATGAAACAGCTGTTTAGACATTCGTTTTCCATTTCAGCATCTAGTTTACTCAACTGGTCATATCAGAATGCGAAGCCTTGCGAAGTCCTAGTGGGGGACAACACCCAGATCATTCCCGCATCGAAAACCGCCCCGTCCGAAACGAATCTCTCCACATCCACACGACCGAAAACATCGAATTCAGGAGGTAAATACAGCCCCCTAGCGCCTCCTAGAAAACGTAGACACATTTTAGATACCCCGCATGACACCGTGTTAGCCAACGCCACTTCCAAATCTAGTAGTTCGATTAGTACTGGTGGCCAGGATAGTTTGCATGCTAGTACCAACACACCTTTGCATGATTTGATCGATAGAACTTCTCTTGTCGATGCCACAACAACTAATAACCCAACCGACAATCAAGATGAATCAACAGAGCAAGCAAATTCATCTAGTTCTACCACCGGAAAACATTTCGAAATGTCGATAGAAACTAGTAGTTCTGCAAGCTCAGAAAGTGCAGAACAAAATGATACTGAAAGGGAAAAACCTATTGCCAGTACAGAACAACCAACTACTAGCACGGAAGAACCAGCTGCTATTACGGAACAACCAGATGCTAGTACAAAATCCGGTGTTCCATTGCCCAAAGACATGAATGAAGCAGTTGTGGAAACTACAGAAGAACCAATTGACGAAGAAGTTGAGGGTAGTACCTCGGGTAGTACTGAAGAAGACCTCTTCGATTCATCGCTCTTCACATTGGACAGAGACGCTTATGACGAAATCAACAAAGCCCATGAATCTTTCTCTTCAAACGAAGACTATAAATCACTAGAAGTACAAAATGACGAGCCAATATTCTCCACCTATAAAGATCACGATATCCAAATCATCAAACTGCACGATCAAAATTTATTGTCGACAACACAAAAATCCAAGACAGTTTACCACATCGAATCTAGGAATAAAGATACCTCGAAAGAACTAACAGATGCAAATTTGTCCATCCTTCCTATGGATTTGAACACCGATCTGAAAAAAATCAACTTCAACGATCCAATCATCGCGAAAAACTCTTCCTCTAACAGCCAAGCTGAATTTGATACTAACCAACCTAAAGTGAAAGTTATGAATTTGTTTCCTACGACTAACTCCTCTAGCATGCCGGCATCAAGAAAAATCCAGGTGAATGTAACTATAGCCACCGAGCCTGATATTAACTCTGTGCAATCTGTATATGTGCTTTCTGTGTCTATACCTAGTGATGGTGGTGAGCCAAATGTAGATACCAAAGAAGTCAAAATGACAGATTCTCTCAGAACTTCTGATAAAACCGTTACCGCAGCTCCGAAAGTTTTTGAGTTCGAAAAAGATCAGTCAGGTGGCGCTTGTGAGTGCTCCTGTCCTTGTTTAGACTCATCGAATGAATTTTCAGACCGTAATTTCTACGATTACGACAGTATCCCGGTGAAATCGTCCACAGCGAAACACCTGAACGTTTCAACCACTACCGAAGTTTCCTCACAATCTTCTTTTACCTCTACAAGCGAACCTTCTACTTCAGACAGTTGGACTACTAATTGTCCAGAAGTAACCACGAAACTGCCTCCGCCGCCTACCATACTCATTCTCGAAGGTATGACACTGTAGCTTAGCCAACTAACAGCTAAGCAAAGTATCAGCGAGATCATCATCTTTAAAAGTTATCTGCGATAATGTGGGACATATTTTCATCACTAACAATTGCTTGAGTATTTTGTCTTGACCATAACACAGCTTCGTCATGATGCTAATTCACCGCATGCGTTTTATCGCTTGAGCACTTAGTATGTGTCTTCAAACTATTACTAAAACTTTTTCTTTGTATAGGTGCACGAACTTTTCCAGCTCAATCATTCCCGCCTGACGGTACGACTTTTTCCCAAATCGCCTTAGGCCAAAGATTGTCGAAGGAAATACCACCTTACGGCTACTGGAACATGCAATTCTACCAGTCTGAAGCGGCTTACGTTCAGTTCGATTACAACATACCTAGAGGCGCTAGCATCGGGGTATACGCCAGAAGAAATGCTTTGCCTACTCACACGCAATATCACATATTGGAGGTACTCAGCGGATTCAAGGCTAGGACTACAAGAGCATCACATGTAAGTATACACTTTATCTCTATACAGACACCAATTGAAGACCAATTTAATCTATCGTCATCTGTCATCTCTATATTCAGGGTGTCGGGTGTCCCAACATTTGCTAGGCCACAGAGCTACCACGTGTAATATAGGTCAAAATAAGTTGATTGGACCCCATTTATTTGAATACCAAAATGTACCGTTTGTTCGTGAGAAGAGTTTTAAGTTCACAAAATCTGGTGCATTTTTTTATTTTGTCGAATTGACGTTTGTATTGATGAAGGTGGCGGTCATATTCAACATTTTTTATTAGAAACGTCCTGCCTTCATTCCTTTGTTGACTAAATTTTGTATTACAATGTTATTCTTTTTTTCTGCGGAAAAATGGAGAGTACGGAGTTTCTTCAAGACTAAAAACATGATGATGATTAATCTTCTCGTTAAAGAAAATTGAGTACCATATTACCACCCTCAAGACAGTTTTGTCAGGGGGTGAGGGTAGTTTCAATCATTCAACAATTTCTTTCGGGTTTCTTTGAGGCTACATTGCACTTTTGTCTCAAATTTAATTGAATTTTTTTCACTTATTTCTAAACAGCAGACAGCAATTGTTTTTTTATGTAAACTTCGAACTCTTCAATTTTAGGACACCCTGTATGATAATGAATCCCTATTTCCCTTGTCACGCCATCACGCGTGAACAGCTGGACCGATTTCACTAATCTTTTTTTTGTCTCTGTTATTGTCCGAAGAAGGTTCTTATGAAAGAAAAAACTAAGAAATTCTAGATGGTGGATCCAATATGGCGGACGAGTTTTGTAATTATGATCCGATTCTATTCAAAACTTGTAACTCAGGGTTTCGGAGATTATGAATTTCTCGTCAATATTGAAGAATTCAAGATGGTGGATTCAATTATGGCGGTCGAACTTTGTAATTATGATCCGATTATATTTGAAATTGGTATTTGTGGGGATTTTCTGGGTTAGAAATTACGATTCTTTCGTCAAAATTGAGGAATTCAAAATGGCGTATTCAATAATATATTATGATCCGATTCTATTCAAAATTTGTATCTGATTCGGGGTCTCAGATTATGATTCCTCCGTCATAATAAAAAAATTCAAGATGTCGGATTTAATATGTTGAACAAGCTTTGTAATAAATGGTGTTTTGAAAAAATAATGAAACACGCTTTTATAGACAGTCAAACTCAATAGAGGTAGAAAATAATTAGAAGTTTAGAAAACTGAAGAAATAGATTAACGAACTGAAAAGAAGTAGTAGAAAATAAATAGTTGTTTGAAGAACAAAGAAGACACGCTTTCATGTTGAGTCAAGCTAAAAAGAATTTTAAAATAAAATGATAAAAGTGTGCTGTTGGATATTTAACTGAAAAAATATTCTCTACAAATAATGTATAATTATAGCAAAACAACGTTAGCCGGGCCAGCTAGTCAACACTGAAAATGAAGAGTATGACATGGCGGATCAATTTATTTGTTCTCGTTTCAAGCAATCTACGGTAAAGAAGGAGGTGACCCACTACATGGAGCAAGGCCACTGGTTCTTGTCGCTGTACAACGACGATGGCGATCCTCAAGAAGTGACATTCGTGGCGGCCGTAGCTGATGACATGACCCACAACTGTCCCAATGGCTGCAGTGGTAAAGGTGAATGCCTCATGGGCCACTGTCAGTGCAACCCTGGATTCGGAGGGGATGATTGCAGCGAGAGTAAGTTTGAAGAATGACGATTGTTCATTGAACACTTTGGCCATTAACCTCCTGACTCGAAGCTTTGCATGATTCAAAGGTTTCTAGTCCTAAATAACTAGCGTGATGCTTTGAATATACGTAGGATATAACCACTAAGTTGCTTGATGATATTTGGACAGTTTCTATTCCCCTACAGTTCCTGCACTGTTATACAAATCGAGTTTATTCTACCAAATATGGTACCACTATGAACAAATTCCATGTACCTATATTCAAACACAAATTTCCAGTGATATCTCTCCATGGTTTAATGAAAATGTTCTTAATTTTTCTTCTATTATTCAGCAAAACTATCATCCTTGTTATGCAGCAATAGTTTATTCAGCTAGTCAATTTTCGAAGTCAAATGTCAGTGCAATATCGGTGTATATCTAAAACTTTCACTAACTCAGGATATGGGCTGATTTATTTTTCATTCATCTGTCAGGATGCCACTCTGGTGTACCATATGAGCTATATTGAATATATTAAGAAACTTCCCAAGATTTCATGAAATTCCCTATTTTTCTGTTTTGTTATGAATTATTGTCAAAATAAAAAGCGTAATCCTTCAGCAATGGTATACATTCGAATTGATTGACGATATTCTGCACTTTCCTAACATCAGGTTTTGGCATCATCTAATAGATACTTTCCCTTCTCTGATTTTCTTCAATTGATTCATAACTTACTATTCTTATTCTTGCTAACTTGATATTCAGTTCAGCCGTTTTCAAAATATTGGAGGTTGAACATTTTTTAGTAACAATTTGGTTTTACAAATCAAGTCATAAAGAATCAGAACACATATGCAAAAGGAAGTATGACAAAAAGTTTGATTAATAGTAACCTGCATATGTGTTGGATTCTTCATGGCAATTGCGATTTGGTAAAATTAAACCCTAACTAGTTCTAAAATGATCGACCTCGAATATGTAATAAACGGTTCAACCGAATATCAACAGTTCATATATTTTTGAAATCGGAGAAGGAATATTTCCATCTGTTTCACCTCGTACAATTTTCTGGAGGTTCAGAACAATCCATACAACTTTTGTATCTGAAGTTTTTTTTTATCTTCAATGATGAGCTTTTTAAATAATTATACTGAATGACTCAAGTATCATACACAACTTGAAAAAAATTTTGTCGTCCAAATCTTTGTTCAGTTCAATAATGTTTCTGGTTGGAATCGCATTAAGTCTGCCTTTTTCACTACTTGTGGATGCTTCAAAGTAGATCATTCCTTCATCTTCATAGAATTAAAGATATCGCTCAAAAGTTCAAGTTCATTGAAGAGGTGGCGTAGAAACACTGTACTAATAGCGACTGTGCATCAGTATCTAAGTAAAGCTATGATCATTGCATGACCGAATGAATTTCTGCTAGGTGTATGCCCGGTGCTGTGTAGTCAGCGCGGCGAATACATCAACGGAGAATGTCAATGTAATCCTGGTTGGAAAGGCAAGGAATGTCAGCTGAGGCATGACGAATGTGAAGTGCCAGATTGTAACGGGCACGGGCACTGCGCCAATGGGAAATGCAACTGCATTCGAGGCTATAAAGGAAAATTCTGCGAAGAAGGTAAACTCCATAAACTAACTTTCTTCGTCGGAATGATTTAACAGCACAAACTAACACACGTTCACTTATTCACTTCTCAAACTAATCTTTGATGGATTTATAGCTGATTGTCCTCATCCCACTTGTTCCACTCACGGATACTGTGTAGAAGGAACTTGTATATGCAAGAAAGGCTGGAAGGGTCTCGATTGCTCCCAAATGGACAAAGATGCTCTTCAATGCCTTCCGGATTGCTCTGGTCATGGCACCTTCGACCTGGAATCCCAAACTTGCACTTGTGAACCCAGATGGTCTGGAGATGATTGTTCTAGAGGTAAGTTAAATGAAATTGATGTTTGGTGTCGACCTATATATGTAGCCTTCCATCACCTTGATCGGTATATTCTCTTACAAATAATACCATCGCACTTCCTATATATCGACAACGGGGTAACTTTTTTTAACACCATATTTTTTTCAAATTTGGACTGAAGAGTGTTGCCATTACAACAGAATACTTCAATATCCTTCCGATAGCCAAGCTGCATCCTTTCAACCTCCTTCACTGCATTGCGAACATCAAGGAAATTGGAAATAAGTAATTTTCTTTGAACATTATAGGGATTCCCTTTCGTGCGCTCCAAGCGATAAAAAAAAAAAAAAAAAAAAAAAAAAAAAACTGTCACCAACAACTATGTGATATGACCTGAAACTGAATACAATACAAACTTATCTTCAGTGGCCTCTGTATTAGATATAAATTAATAATAATTACGTACAGTTACACACATTTTCAGCACCCTTACCATACAGTGCTCATTTTTTGACAATTGTATCATCAGTTTCATTTCCTTCAACTCCCTTTTAATGCCCTGTGACAGCCACATGAGTCAGGAATTGTTCGCAGTCCCAGACTGAATTGCTGAAGACACAAGATCTCATAGTTTTCTGTTAGAATGGTTATCGATATGGTATCGATATTGTATCGATATGGTATCGATATGGTATCGATATGGTATCGATATGGTATCGATATGGTATCGATATGGTATCGATATGGTATCGATATGGTATCGATATGGTATCGATATGGTATCGATATGGTATCGATATGGTATCGATATGGTATCGATATGGTATCGATATGGTATCGATATGGTATCGATATGGTATCGATATGGTATCGATATGGTATCGATATGGTATCGATATGGTATCGATATGGTATCGATATGGTATCATGGTTTCGATACGGTATCGACATGGTATTGATACGAGCTCATGTGCCACTATTATACTTAATTTTTGAACCACCCATCGGTATACTTCCAATATCACGAAAATGGGCAGAGATGATCCAATCTCCCCTTTCCAGAACTGTGCGATCTGGACTGCGGTACCCACGGCCACTGTGTTTCTGAAGCTTGTCAATGCAATCCCGGCTGGTCAGGCGAGTACTGCAACCTGAAGCAATGCGATCCCAGATGCAACGACCACGGCCAATGCAAGAACGGTACTTGTCTATGCGTGACCGGCTGGAACGGAAAACATTGTACAATCGAAGGATGCCCGAACAGTTGCTCTGCCCACGGCCAGTGCCGATTCAACACCGAAAACATGTGGGAATGCAGATGCGACATCGGTTGGGACGGCCCAGACTGTAGCCTGTTGCTCGAACAGAACTGCAACGATGGTAGAGACAACGACAAAGGTGATATTCAAAGTTCTTATTCTTGTCATCATATTATATACATTTCTCAGTAGACTTGGCGCATGCCTATAATATATCTTGAAAAAAGCTGCATCGAAATGAGGGGTACCTTTCGTTAACTTCTATGCGAGTGTCATCTGAAGGAAATTTTAGTTAGGTTGACGTACATATTTTTTAGTAGGGTTGAGTTCGTGAATAATGATTCAATAATGATATTGATATTAATATAATCATTATTGTTCATAATCGAGTGAATTTTAATTCAATGAGACATTATTCTATCATGAATTGGGTAACTAATGTGGAAATCATGGCAAATCACCTAGTGGTGATATAAAGTAGTTGAATAAAGAAAATAGCTGAGGAAAAATATTCAAACCTACTTATGAGTAATTTCTGGCTATCCAATGAGGATCTAATAATCACACCTGAAGAGAGAGTAATTGAAAAAACATGAGTATGAGACCAGAACAAGCTCCGACCCTCGCTCACATGGCTATATAAAAACTTATTGAACTTAAATCAACCAATGAAAATAGAGGAGACAACGTACAGTAATCACGTGAACAAGGAAAAATGAATTAGCCATAAAAATTGACCTTTTCTTCCTCTCATGTTGGTTTCCATTCTTTCGTTCAAAGTAAGGTGAAGTAAGAGCGCAACTACAGTCATTGATATTATCAGATCATTAATTGTCGATATCCCTCTGTTCGCAAAACAACATTCTTCTTTACCAGACATGAGTCAGGAAAGATAGTATGAAATGGAAAGGAACGAAAACACAAACACGAAAAAGTATACTGCTCATAGAAATACATACTAAACAACTTGAATCTCTCAATACAAACACTTGCTTCTTAAATTCAAAATTTGCAGTCATATTGGAATATTAAGTTTCACATTATTGTTTTCACTACGTCGACCTCAATGACTATTGGTCGACTTTGCTTCATAAAGAGACGTGAGTTGCCACTCTCAGGACAGGTATACGCTTCATTTCGAATTATTTATAACTATATGGTAGTCAGTAGTTAATACTTCTTTGTTTCAAAGATGGACTGGTCGATTGTGAAGATCCAGAGTGCTGTATGAACCCGGTGTGCAAAAACAGCCAGTTATGCGTTTCCGCACCCAAACCTATCGATATCTTACTAAGAAAGCAACCACCCGCCGTCACGGCTTCGTTTTTCGAAAGGATGAAATTCCTCATTGACGAAGGAAGCTTACAGAACTATGCTAGACAAGAAACTTTCAACGAAAGGTGAGTTATTTAGTCCTGCTAGATTTTGATAATTTTTCTAAACTTGTTTACTTTTCGACTTCAACTATATGTATATTTGTTGTATGTTGAGATTTTACTAGCTGCATTGTTGTGCCCCACGTTCAAAACTCCCATTCATGTTTTCTTATAACTGTCGTTTTCAACTCACTAGATAATTAAATGCAATAGGCATCAAACGATGCAACAATCGTGCAAAAAAAATTACTGCCTAATTACTAATTTACCCATTTTGGCTTTCTTCATTCTTGCTGCTCAGTGTATTTTGGAACCACTTCAATACGAGGTAAGGCGGGATGCCATTGATATCCCCAATTAATAGGTAGAAGTAGATAAAACTGAATAGTTTACATCGGCAACCTGTGACAATACTTATTAAGATTTTATTTCTGCTTGGTTTTTGAATGCTATATCCACTTGTGTTCGTGTTTCTTCAGTTGGCTTCAGTTCATGTTTATGCTAAGTATACATGAGAGTGCAGGTGATTCCGTATTGCGAAATAGACAATAAATCATTATATATATATATACATATTCATTTTGATTTCAACTCAATCTGCTTCTGGTAATGAAAATCAGTTATACCAACCACAACTTTATATCGTCTTTGAGAATGCATGTGCGGAGAAAGATTAGTTTAGTGCAAGTATGCCCGTACTTGATTCCATCTCTAACTGTAAATTTCGAAGGTCGGATTTGCATTTTTTCTATGATTTTAATCAAAGTAATGGAATCGTTGCATTTCAGCTAGGTTATTCATCGAAGATGCCCACCCCTATATTCATGTTATTTTCCATCAAGGAAAATAAATAATATGTCCGCTTTCCGCATTTTCTATCAGTTTCCATAATAGCTTGACGTTATCGACTAAATAATTATTTCTGCCACAGCCGCTCTGCAGTAGTACGTGGCCGAGTTACTACTCAAATGGGAACTGGTCTCATGGGAGTCAGAGTCAGCACCAGCACCCCTCTGGAAGGATTCACTCTCACCAGAGACGATGGCTGGTTCGACCTCCTAGTCAATGGCGGAGGAGCCGTGACCCTACAATTCGGTAGATCTCCCTTCAGCCCTCACAGCAGAATTGTCTTTGTGCCGTGGAACGAAGTAGTCATCATCGAGAACGTTATCATGACGACCGGAGAGGAAAGATCCGTCAGTATCATTCCACAACCTTGCAGTTGGCACAACTATGATACAATGAAACCTGTGGTACTAGCGACGTGGAAGCATGGTTTCCAAGGAGCTTGTCCAGATAAGAGTGCTATTTTGGCCGAATCCCAAGTGGTTCAGGAGAGCCTACGTATTCCTGGGACCGGTCTCAACTTGGTGTATCAGAGCTCACGCGCTGCTGGGTATCTCTCCACCATACAGCTACAACTCACGCCCGAAGAAATTCCTCTAGACCTGAAGCTGATCCATTTACGAATCACCATCGAGGGCATCTTATTCGAAAAAATCTTCGAAGCTGATCCAGTAATTAAATTTACTTATGCTTGGAACAGGCTGAACGTATACCGCCAAAGAGTATACGGAGTTACAAACGCTATAGTCAAGGTTGGGTACGAGTATAGCGATTGCAAGGATATCATATGGGACGTCCAAACTACGAAACTGAGTGGACATGACATGAGTATATCTGAAGTGGGCGGCTGGAATTTAGATATACACCACAGATATAATTTCCATGAAGGTACGCTATACACTTACAAATTCTTCGTCGGAAAGCTAATTTGTTTTCATCAATAGGTATCTTACAAAAGGGCGATGGTTCAAACATCTACCTGAAACATAAACCACGAGTGATTTTAACGTCTATGGGAGATGGTCACCAAAGACCATTAGACTGCGTTGATTGTGAAGGCCAGGCAACTAGACAGCGTCTATTAGCACCTGTTGCTTTAGCAAGCGCGCCAGATGGTTCTCTTTTCGTCGGTGATTTCAATCTAGTCAGGAAGATCCAGACTGATGGTATTGTGAGAACTATCGTGCGACTCAAGTAAGTTAAACCTTATAAATTCACATAATCTAATTATACCTACCTACCTATATGGATAACGTCTATTGTTTTCCGAAAAAAATGTGAGTCCGCTATTGAGAAAAACGCATGACTATCTTGGTGAAGGATACTCGCTCTACATATGAAAAATGGCCAACTAACTCCTATCTTTTGGCATGGAAATAGTTATTGTTGATGGGAAATTAGAAATGTGTCAGTTATATCCTGAAGAAGTGCTTCATTATATTTCTTAGATGTGAGCAGAATAGAATGTAAGCTTACCATATCTCTTGTTTTTCTCACCATTACTTGCTTCATCAATATATTATAGGTACTCATTAGATAAGGTTCTTTAGGTAAATATTTTAGACACAAAACTTGCGATATAGCTCCACGACTTTCCTTCGTGTTTTCTGACTTCGCTCTTGATTCCCTTGTTGTCCATATAGGTATTATTAGATATATACATCAATTTCTCCCACTAAGTACTTGAACTTAACACTTGACCCTTTGTATTTATAGCGCCACTCGAGTTTCCTACCGCTACCACATGTCTCTCAGCCCACTGGACGGTACCCTCTACATATCTGACCCAGAATCTCACCAGATCATCAAAGTTCGTAGTAATGATGACTACACAGATCCGGACCACAACTGGGAAACGGTAGTAGGCTCGGGAGAAAGATGTCTGCCTGGCGATGAAGCGCACTGTGGAGACGGTGCCTTAGCTAGGGACGCGAAACTTGCTTACCCTAAAGGAGTAGCGGTGTCTAACGACAACGTTTTGTACTTTGCCGACGGTACCAACATCAGAATGGTCGATAGAGACGGTATAGTGACTACGGTGATCGGCAACCACATGCACAAGTCGCACTGGAAGCCGTTGCCGTGCGAGGGTACTTTGAACATCGAAGAGGTCCACTTGAGATGGCCTACTGAGCTAGCTATCAATCCATTGGACAACACTTTGCATATTATCGATGATCACATGATTCTTCAACTCACCCTTGATGGTAGAGTAAAAGTTATTGCTGGAAGACCACTTCATTGCGCGTCGCCATTGACTGGGTACGATATCGATATCGCTACACATGCAACTCTTGTAATGCCTCAAAGCATAGCGTTCAGCTCTTCAGGAGATCTGTACGTAGCGGAGAGCGATTCACAGAGGATAAACAGAGTGCGGGTGATTGGTACCGATGGTAAAATATCCCCGTACGCTGGTGCAGAGTCTAAATGCAACTGTTTGGAACGAGGTTGCGACTGTTTCGAGGCCGATCACTACTTAGCCTCCAACACCAAATTCAATACCATATCTGCAGTGACGGTAAGCCCGGATGGTCATGTTCATATCGGAGACCAAGCAAATTACAGGATACGATCCGTGATGGCGAGCATACCAGATGCTAGTATTTCACGAGAGTACGAGATCTATTCTCCTGAGACGCAAGAGATTTACATATTCAACCGTTTTGGACAACACATCGCTACTAAGAACATTCTCACAGGCGAATCCAGCTACGTTTTCACCTACAACGTGAACACAAGTAACGGTAAACTGAGCACTGTGACTGACGCTGCTGGCAACAAAGTGTTCCTATTGCGAGACTATTCTAGTCAAGTTAACTCGATAGAAAACACGAAAGGACAGAAATGCAGGCTCCGTATGTCAAGAATGAGGATGCTGTATGAGCTAAGCACGCCTGATAATTATAACGTTACTTTCGACTATCATGGACCTACCGGCTTACTGAAAACAAAGCTGGACAGCAGTGGACGTAGCTACGTTTACAACTACGATGAATTTGGACGGCTAGTTTCAGCAGTGACTCCTACCGGCAAAGTAATTAGTCTGTCCTTCGATTTAAGCATCAAGGGAGCTACTGTGAAGGTCAGCGAAAATAATAAGAAACCTGTCTCCATGCTTATAAAAGGCTCCAGCGTATCCACAAAGATCGAAGACGTAGAAAATCGTATTATTCTACTAGCCGATGGAAGCGCAACAAGTATATCATCCTGGACACATTCTATCACCACTGATACTGTACCTTACAATATCCTGGCAGATAAGGAACCTTTGCTGGGTGAAAGCTATCCAGTCCCGGCGAAACAAAGAACCGAAATCGGTGGAGATTTAGCGAATAGATTTGAATGGAGATACTTTGTTCGTCCCAATCCCAACTCTAAAGGCAACAAAAACTCCATACCAAGAACAATCACCAAGGTCGGCAAGAAGCTCAGAGTGAACGGAGAGAATTTGCTCACAATGGAATACGATAGGGAAACTGCTTCTGTGTCAGTTTTCATGGACGACAAGGTTGAATTGTTGAACGTAACGTATGACAGATCAGCTAGACCTGTGCGATGGGGTCCTCGAAACGGAATTTTCACTGAAGTGGAACTAGAGTATGACAGATTTAGCAGATTGAGTAAATGGAAATGGGGAGAACTTAGCGAGACTTACGGCTTTGACAGAGCCGGTAGACTCAACGAAATCAAATATGGTGATGGATCATCGCTCGTATATGCATTCAAGGATATGTTCAGTAGCCTAGTGAGTACTCGAAACGATTTCTATCATATAATAATACTAATGGCATTTTCTGTTTCAGCCTTTGAAGGTTAGCACACCTCGAGGTTCCGACTACCTCCTGCAATACGACGACTCAGGTGCTCTTCAATCTCTAACAACTCCGAGAGGTCATATCCACACATTTTCTCTACAGACCTCCCTTGGTTTCTTCAAATACCAGTACTTCTCACCGATGAATCGCCACCCCTACGAAGTGATGTACAATGATGATGGACAAATTCTTGCTAAAATCTACCCACACCAGTCTGGAAGGGTTTCCTTCGTCTATGACGATGCCGGTAAGCTAGAGACCACGCTAGCCGGTATGAGCTCTACCCATTTCGTATACCACGAGGTCCTGGATCTAGTGAAGAGTATAGAAATCATCGAGCCTAATTTCGAGATGCGACAGGACTTTAAGTATCACGCGGGGATTCTCAAAGACGAGAAGATCAAGTTCAGTAGCAAGAGTGGCTTGGACAATGCACACTACAAGTACCAGTACGACGGAAACGCAAGGATATCTACCATAGATGTTGATATCAACGGAAAAGAGTTGCCTCAACTCAGGCTCAAGTACAACCAGAACTTGGGTATCTTGGAAGGCATCAGCGACCTCAGGGTATACAGAAACACTTTCAACCGTTCGGTAATGCAAGATACTACCAAACAGTTCTTCACCATCACTGACTATGACGACCATGGCAGAGTCAAGTCAATACTGATCAACATAAAGTCGTTCGACGTGTTCAGGCTAGAGGTGGAGTATGATACCAGAAATAGGATCAAGATGCAGAAGCTCATGGTGGGACGTAGCCAATTCTTGGATAGGATAGCATATAATTCAGATGGGCATGTCCTTGAGGTAGCCGGTACGAGCAATTGGAAATATGTTTATGATGAAAACGGCAATATCATCGCAGTTATTAAAGAGAAAGAGAAGATATCGCTTGGGTATGACAGCGGTGATAGAGTGGTGCAGTACGGTGACGTAGAATTCAATAGTTATGACAGCCGTGGGTTCGTAGTGAGACGTGGCGAGCAAAAATACCGATACAACTCTAGAGGGCAGCTGATACACGCCTTCGAGCGTGACAAGTTCCAGACTTGGTACTTCTATGACGACAGACAACGGCTTGTATCCTGGTACGATGACAAAGGCAATGTCACGCAATATTTCTACTCGAACCCTAGCACTCCTGATCTAGTAACTCACGTTCACTTCCCCAAGTCTGGTAGGACCTTCAGGTTCCTTTATGATGCTAAGGATGTAATCATAACTGTGGAAACATCTGAACAAAGGTTCTATGTGGCTTCGGATCAAAATGGCTCCCCGCTAGCGCTATTTGACATTAATGGAAACCTAATTAAGGAAATTAGAAGGACACCTTTCGGAAACATACTATTAGACACTAACCCGGACTTTTACCTGCCTGTGGATTTCCACGGTGGTATTTTAGACCCCAATACCAAACTCGTTTATACAAACAAGCGACTATACGACCCAGTGGTAGGGCAATGGATGACTCCAGCTTGGGAACGTCTAGCTACGAGACTGACCACGCCTACTGATGTTTTCATATATAGATTCCACAATAACGATCCAATCAACTCCAAGATTTCCAATGACTATATGACTAATCTCAACAGCTGGTTGAGGCTATACGGATACGATATGGAGAAAATGCTTGGCTCCCAGTATATCGGTGACATGGTCTACCGACCCAAAGCTACTGTCACTGCTCCCCAATTGGCTCCTGATTTTGGTATAATGTCTGGATTGCAGTGCATAGTGGATAAGGTAAGAAGAGATTCCGCTCAAAAATAAAAAATAATGACTTTACTTCATCTCCAACCGTATCGATAGGTGTAAATACTTTCTAAAACAGGAATAACTCGAGAAGTAGATAAATACGATGAAAGAAAACATCAATGATAATAATCTGACTATGAATGCGGATCCGGAACAAACATTTTTCATTATAGTTTATAACGATGAAAGAAAAATGAATCTGAATATGAATGCAGAAAATTCATTCTCTTGACAATATTTTCTTTCCATTTCAGATCAATGAGAAATTCATGGATCTCAGTTTTGTGCCCAAACCGTTGCTGAAGATGGAACCCCGTACTAGGAATCTCCTACCACGTGTTGCATATCGCCGAGCTGTATTCGGTGAAGGCGTCTTGATATCTCGTGTGGGCAGCAGATCCCTAGTGAGTGTCGTTGAGGGTGTCAACGGTGTCGTCCAAGATGTCGTCACCTCCGTCTTCAACAACTCCTTTTTCCTCAATCTCCAGTTCAGCATCCATGACCAAGACGTCTTTTATTTCGTGAAAGATAACGCGCTCAAAATCAGAGACGACTTGGAGGAGTTGCACAGGCTCGGAGGCATGTTCAACGTTTCGACCCACGAGATTAGCGATCACGGGTCAGCGACGCCAATCAAGGAGCTGAGGTTACATAACCCCGACGCGGTGGTTATCATCAAATACGGGGCTGACCCCGATCAGGAGACGCACAAGATACTCAGGCATGCGCACAAGCGCGCGGTCGAACGCGCTTGGGAGATTGAAAAACAACTTGTGGCCGCCGGGTTCCAGGGCAGAGGCGAGTGGACGGAGGAAGAAAAGGAAGAACTTATCTCACACGGAGACGTGGACGGGTACGAGGGTGTAGACATACACAGCATACACAAATACCCGCAACTGGCAGACGATCCTGGCAACGTTGCCTTCCAACGCGACACGAAAAGAAAGAGGAGGAAGAGTGGCGTGAGAAGAGCTAGATTGCACAGGCACGAGTCGTGATTGTCGAGAAGATCTGGTGATATTTCGTGAATGAAGGAGATATTTTTTATGTGCCATACACTGCATGATGACTTCAAATCAAATCCTAGTCGATATTTTTCTTAAACACATGGCGTTATTTTTCGCGAGCATAGCCATGACTGTCCAATAATGAAATATTTCTTGACTGTGTTGTGTAAAAGCAATCAAAAGGCCTATTTGATAACGAATAGAAGAGTTTTCCTACAGGGTAGCCGAGTTACTCTAAGGACTTAGGTACGGAGTTGTTCGAATTCCAGGCTGATTAAAAAGTTTTCGAAATACCTTAAGAGCGGTAAACCGGTGAGCACCGAGTTTGAATGACGCCGTAACAAAAAAAACCTACTAAAGACTCTCTGAACATAGTTTTATTAGTTAAGGCAAAACAAGAGAAACTGTACATAATATCAGAAGCTTTTTATATGGAACTAAATAGTGAAATTGCTATGATTGAGTATGGAATGATTGTTTTCTAGGCAATGGCTAAATCCACGCCAGAAGAAGAATGCGGTTTTTATCAATTCCTTATACATCTGCTCATACATGATAGAACTAATCAATATATAGATCAGAAGTCATTTTATTTAGAGTTCAGAATTCATACACCTATTGAACGTCTTGTATCTTTTATATGGGGTAGGCATTTGACGTGACTTTAGTCAGGGCCGATTTTTATGCTGCAATTTCTTATGACGATCTTGTCATTGAATAATGTAGCATTCGACTGATATATATTTATTCATTCACAATGAATGTAGGTACATATTCGAAGCATATAATAAATAGTCCATAGATGTACATATTTATTTATGATTTCTTATTAAGTTTTCCAATTTTATATTTGGTGCTTTTTCTCCACATCTATCGATATATAGATTTTCCAGGGCCGTCAGTAACCGTTCAATGGGCCATGTATCATTAGAATAGCGTACTATGACTTATAAATATCGCATCATAGAAAAGAAAGTAATGAAACTATTCAATTATACATTTATGTAATTCTATTTGTTTGCCATATAGCTGATGTAAGTACAGACGAATATTAGGTACAGCTGTTTTAATGATAAATGAACTCTTTTCTAAGAATTTTTTGTACTGTAATTGAGTGATGAATTTTTCGAATTCGTTTGATGAGAATGTGAGGTGGGATAGAAACTTGGATAGGTGATATTTTTTCTAATGTGACTAACAAAGCAATACTTTGTATCTTATATATGTCTTAATTATTCTTAAATTATTATTACGTGCAATTGTTGTGTGACTGTTTCTGAACAGTCAGCACTAGTAATGCATTGAAAAAATATGATGACCATATTCGTGAAATATTAATACCAATATTTTATGTGTGTATATAAATTTATTGTGTATATTGTTTTTATATGTAAATATATTTTGTTTTATTCGGTAATATACTCGTTTATTAAATGCAGAACTATTTATCAATTTGTCTTTTATTACCTATTGTCTTTTGTAGACAAACATCCGTTCGTTTTTATTGAAATAGGAGAGGGGCAATTTTTATGGAATCATATCAGATATTTTGCATAGGAAAACTGATTTTCATGGTTTCAAACCCCCATATGTTAATTTTCATGGGTCCTACGAAGGTTTGAAGAAAACAACACATCTAAACAGCATTTTCATGAACGTAATAATTTACTCGGAAACGATGAGTTCAACATAAAAGGCATAGATTAACGACTCCCCTATCTTGTTTTTTCTTTCAAATAATGATCGATTTTCTACCAACCGGAGCTATTTCACGTTCAAAAATTTGCAATAAGTTTGAATTCACTATTTTTTTGAGGCTGAAAATGAAATAAAATTAAGCCAATTGCGTTAATTCGGAATGAGGTGATTTTTTGCATATGGAGGTTCGAAAGCATGAGGAACAATGATATGAAGTTAGTTTTTTGCAAAAAAATTCCTAATATGATTTCATAAAAATTTACCTTTTTTATTTCAATAAAAAAGCACGGCACTTTCCAAGAGGATGTTTGGCTCTAAAAAACTGATCATATATTCATACTTATTGATCCAAATTTGGTACGAATCGCATGACTAATAGCTGAGATATAGATAGGGGCCGTTCAAAGTGAGACACGCTGTATAAAAATATGGGATAACGAAGTGCGATGTTTACATATTTGACATATATTTGCATTCAAGAACAGTGGAGCAGACTTCATCCGTAGGTAGGTAGTTTCACGATATAATCCCTTGGCAGTCCCCGCGAGATTAACACGTCGACTTGAGGCTTCGCACCCCTTCGTGGTCACTTTGGAGACCTGCAGAACATCTCTTTCCAAAGACTCGTTCATCCAATAACGAACAGCGAGGCTCTGGAACTCATTGCCAAGGGAGGTGGTCCCGATGCATATAACCTCCAGAAATTCAAGAAGAACACCAATTCCTACCTTATTAATTATTTCCCTTGGTTCTCACGATGTTCTCTGAACATTACAGGATATACCTTTTCGTAGGAACCAGAACATAAAAAAAACAGGATATCCGATGGACATCCATCGAAGGTCCATATTTGGTCCACATGGGCTATGGGCCATGGGCATGGACTCGAAAAGGACGTCCAATGGATGTCCATTTTGAGGTTGGTATCATAGAGATCCATTCATTGACATCTTATGGATATCCATGCATGTACAGGGTCTTCACGTATATTTTGAACCCCTCCTTAACAGAACTCTATTTCATTCATCATCGAATTTTTTCCAAAGACCAGTCTTTCATAATTTTTCCTGTAGATTTTGAATATGTTAACAGAAAAACAATTGAACATCTCAAGAAAAAGTTATAGGCAAGATGTATAAATTTTTAAGTAGAACACCCTGTATTTATTGCATTTTTAGGTTCTCCCTGAAGAGCTTCAGAGATCTATCACAGTTGGGGTCTAGCTGGAATGATTATAGAGATATAGGGTGTGAAAAATTGAGATTTTTTCAACTTTAGGATTTTTTTGTAACGAAACTATATTCATTATTGGCCAAAACGGTTTTCATGTTCCTATCTTAACTTTTGATTTTTTTATGTACTGACATTTAATTGAAACAAATACGGAGTGGTTCAAAATTCAGAATTCTGATCACCACACGGATTATTCGTGGTATCGCATACTTTATGGCACTAGATCCCTTGATGGAAAATGACGTTAAAGTCATGTTAAGATGACTTTAACGTCATATGGCACGATTGAAGATGGCACGATGTTTCGTTTTAGGTCGGATTGAATGGGCTTATATCACAAAAAAATTTTATTTCATAATTCGATCGAACTCACCCAAACTAGCTCACCACCGCAAACCGTTTCTTGCTGTGAGCTCCCTACGTTTTATAAAAAAATATTGAAATCCCCGATTTTTCGGACCTCTGAAAACGAGGCGATGATGTGACGTCAAAACCCTAATACTGAAACAAGACTATTCCAGATAGAGATGAATGATACATGATTTCTGACAAATCAATTCTAACCTAGATTGACTTTTTGCAGCTCCATGTGAAACGGGTCAACAAAGCAATGTTGCTATGTTTATGAAATATATTGCATTATTGTGAAATTGTAATGGTGCAAATGGTTTTGAGATTGAGACATTTCGTTGTCTAGAGATTGTTTATACTCCAATGATTCAACCTACAATCGACAACTCGAATATATTTTTCTGCAGTAGTGGTAGTGGATATCAAAAGATATTTCAATATCGATTTCGATTTCTCGGATATTTTGTTTGGATGATATGGCAACAGTAATAAGTGTCAGGAGAGTGTCAGTTTCAACCATATATCTACTATTTCTATATATGGCGCATCGCCTTTACGATATCTCAACAAAAATGGGATTGAATCTATGAGAACAAAAAGTGAAGGATGGAAACAGCCAGATTGGTTTGACAAATTTCCTATTATTTTTTCCCAACGTCGGTATCAACGCCTATTGGTCGATTTCATTACCTATACAGAAATGGGTCCCGCTTTGAGGAGAGCTATGATTCATATATCAGTAGTAGATATATATGGTTTATATATATATTTTTATATATATGGCGAGATGGGGTTTCTACGTCATAAGAGGGTCTCCGTTTTCAGAAGGTACTATCATTTATGTCCAAAAATAAAACATTCCAGTTAATTTTTCGATCGAATTATGTCGTCAATCATTATTTATGTATAAAAGGATCATTATAAACATGGTTTGAGTTAAAAGTTCTACTAAGGTGTACACGCCCATTCTTGCTCTTCCGTTATGACCATACTAGGGTCCCTAGACCAAACGGCCAAATACGGTTGGCGTCACTGATTGTCAATAGTTGGTGTCAATGGCACTAATGGCAGTTATACCATCGAATGACATATGAAAGAAATGATAGGTTATTTTTCCAATTTTTCCTCAGCAAACGCACTGTGATCATTTGAAGAGTAGACTTGAATAAGGGGCTAAGTGCCAAAAAAAAAAACTTTCAGCAGACTCAAAAAACCGATTCATTCAACCATTCATGAATAAAAATGTTTGTAATTTGACAAAATTGTTTATTTGTAAACTTAAAACATTAACAAAGTGAGAAAAACACAAAAAAATCCAAAATGTTCTTGATACAAACAAAAGAAAATGAAAAAAATGGAAAAGGGCAAAGTACCATTAGCATTTTCATGGTAGGTAAGTGCCGGCAACTATACTGTGAGTTTTTGGTAGAACTCCCAGTGCTCTGGTGAATGAAGATATGGAATCATAGCACGTAAATTTTGCTTTTTAGCTTCATTAAGTTTTTTGCTGGAACACTTTTTCCTGTACTAGACACATATTCATTACCGGACTCTTTGAGTTTTTGTTGAACTTTAAACTTAATTCCAGTTTCATATTTTTTTTTTATTATTATCATCATCGTTTCCTATATTCATTTTATTGTTTATACCACGCAAGAACGCACAAACACAATGCTTCCGACAGAGCAAACACTGCAAAATGGATGATGCAGGAAAAAACGTTTCATTTATTTGCCAAACAAAATAATACTGATGGCACTTTGCCCCTTTAATTGGAAACGACGCTTGGCATTTACACAGGTGCGCCATCTGTGTAGTCGATTACGGGAAAAAAATATTCGTTTGAAACTTAGCCCCTTCTAAGGGACATGAGATATGGTATTCAACACCTTTTTATAAAATAAAAATAAAAAACTGTATTTTGGTACTTACCCCCTTATTTGAGTCTACATTTGTGTAGTGATTTAGGCTTTCGAGGTTTTTTTCCTTTCTCTCTCTCGAGAGTCGAGACCCCGGGGGTCTCGTTGATAATTCTGTTTTTCTACGAGCGAATGCGCCTGCGTTCATAAATGGTTGGTTCTTGGTTCACTGTCACGTGTGACTCATCTGGCAATGAGGTTTAGGAATGGTTCGAAAACTTTAGGTTCTAGTAATTCACGCACATAAATATTATTCTAAGGTTGGTAACTCGAAAATTACTCGAAAAATAAAAAATCGTGCGCTGAAAACACTGAAAACAGTACAGGCAGGTGGCTGAATGGATTATGAAATTCATGTTGAAAACAATGAAAACGTAGTTTTCTTGAATCTTCTTCCTATATTCAAGAGTCAGAAACCACAAAATAACAAAAATGGATCTACATCAACCAGTTGAAATGGGCAATAGGGTAGGTATGGTTTATTAATTTAATCAATATCTTCATTCTCCATTACATTATAATACATCAAAATCCAATGCTTCTCATATAAATAACTTTGTTATAATCCATTTTCTAGAGCCCAGACGAGCTCACTTCTGAAGAAAAATACAGGCAAGTTTAGAAAGATTATGAAAATAGTTTCTGAAATTTAGGTTTTTTTAGGTTAGAACATCAAAGATTGCATGAACAACACAAGGGCCATGAAGCTATGCATGCAGAAATGGTAATTGTTCTCATAATCACACTAATAATAGCTCAATTTTGTCTGATAGAATGGAAAAAACGACATTACCGAAGTTATTCTGTAAGTTCATGCCAATTTTGTTGACCCATTCCTACAGTATTTTATTTCAGTTGGTCACTTTACTAGGGATGTGGTTAGTTCCTATTGCACTATGCCTTAGAAGCCACTGGTGGAGATTTATCTTTATATGGTTGCTTTTCTCAATCATAACAGGCCTTATTGTCAGAAAATCATTACAAAAACCCATTGAAAGGACAACTCCTAGATTGGTTTATAAATGGTTCCTCTTACTGTACAAACTAAGCTATGTGCTGGGTATCATAGGTTATTTGATTATGATGGTCACATTTTTTGGATTGAACCTGGTGGTCAACGCTAAAGCTAATTCATGGATGGACTGTGGATTATTATTTGTGTTCTATGGCCTTTATTATGGGGTATTAGGTAGAGATGTTTCTGAAATATGTGCTGATAAGATGGCTGCTCACATAGGGGTAAAATAATGTAAATTACATGATATCTAACTTACAAAGTAATTTCAACATTTTGTAGTATTATTCTCCAGATGGTATTAGTTCTAGAAGTTTAGATCCCACAATGTGTGGAGTATGTGGAAACAAGCTTTTAGTCAGTGAACATGAAGAAGGGGTCATAGAAAATTCTTACAAGTTGAGCTGTGAACATATGTGAGTATAAAAAAAATCAATTATGTTGGATTATCCAGAATTTGAAACCATTCAAAATCAAGTGTGATTATTTCTTAGAATCACAATACAATCTGGATGTTATCTAAATTAATATTAATACTATTTAAATCAACATCATAAACAAACTTTGAACTGTGAAAATCTTGTTCTTGTTAAGAATTTTTCACAAAGGAAATATAGTCAAGTGTAATTTGGTTTTGCTAGACATGCTTCACACCTCAGATGATCTAGAAAATTTGAATGTCAGTGAAATATATTTGAATAAAATTCAAACAGTATGTAATTAACTGATGTTTGCTCATTAATTTTATTCTAAACAATAATTGTAACATGTTTGAAAATATTGTTCCTATTTATAGTATGTAATATTGTTTCTCATTATCTTTTGATAAGAGTAATACCACCTTGAATTTCATATTACTTGTTAGAAACAACATTTTCCAACTTCTTATTTGAATATGCTTTGTTAGTTTCAAATATGAATGTCAATTATTATAGAGGAATAGAGATTATGATTTGAATGGAATATAAATGAAAAAGTCACCTTCAGGAATAATAAAAAATTGTTTTATAATTTTTTTAGATTCCATGAATTTTGTATAAGGGGATGGTGCATTGTCGGTAAAAAGCAAATTTGCCCATACTGCAAGGAGAAAGTAGATCTAAAAAAAATGTTCTCAAATCCATGGGAAAAGCCTCATATACTGTTTGGACAACTTCTAGATTGGATAAGGTGGCTAGTAGCATGGCAACCAATGGTACTATTTTTGGTACAAGGTATAAATTGGCTCTTGGGATTAGAGTGAAGTACTAGAAGGAGAATTTGCATTGTTTGTTATATATTTCTTGTTATTTTAACTTATTTGTAAATAAAAATTCTGCCAAAGATGATTTTGATCAAGGTGATCTTTTGAACATAGCTTTTTTTTATTTATTTCTATCTATACACCAAATGAAATCAACACCTTCAATCAATCAACAAGCCTTTTTATTTCAATATCAGTGATTTTTATAGTAAAATAAAATCTACAAAATCAGCTAGCCAACATGCATACATTACAAAAATTGCTACTATGAAGAAAACATATACTATGAAAGTTATGTCCCTTATCACACTTTTTAATCTCAGATAAAACTGGTCCTTTGATAGATAATTTACAATAGGAACATACTTCTAAGAGGTCATTTGAGTTGAGTTTAGTAGTGATATGTGATTGGTTGCCCAAGTATTTCTTCTGCAAGAATTTTTCCATCAGATCACCAAACTAAAAATTAAGAAATTAGTAATTTGCTTTTATTTCTAAGTATTTTTTTCACCTTTGGAAAATTATCATTATTAACAACATTTTCCATGAAATGTATTCCAACTCCTGGTTCCTCACATGTCATGGTAAAAATGCAGCTCTGATAAAACTTTGCATCCAATTCACCATTGGGTATACACTGGGCATATCTCCCCATCAGTCTATTTGCATTTCTACTCCCAATTGATTCTATTATCAACATACCAATTTCAGTCCATGATAATGCATTTTCATTATCAATAGTTCTGCCACAGTTTAAGCACAGTTTTTGTCTCAGTTTTATGTATAACTTGACAATTTCCTCCCAGCCATCATATGTCAAAGTATCCACATGTTCCTTGAATACTTCTTTGTCACTAAACTGAGTGAGAATGGGTAAATTTAGCATGAGATCATGCAAGTTACTCAATTTTGATAACCTGTGTTTGTGTATTTGAGGAATTTTACTTAAAAATTCATTTTTTTCTGTTGACATATCAAATAATTTAGAAGCCAAGTTGTAATGTTCTAATTTTCGGGTGTGAGCCTTGGGTAATGGAAAACTGCATTGACAACTCAATTCTTTGTTGCTATTTTCAGTGAAAAATGCCTCTGTTAGACAAATAAGAGTTTTTGTCTGGATACTCTCAATTTCTCCTTTGACAGCTTGTTTTAGTAACTGTTCTTGACACCAAGTTGAAGCACACTCATTGTCTTTTTCTTCAACATATCTAGTAAAGTCCTCAAGAAGTGGCAACAAATCATCTAAGTTGAGCATGTTGAAAATATTACTGGTCTCAGTCAATTCAGCTTTTCTATGTGTCTTATTGAGCAAATACTGTTTGTAAATAGAAATTACATATTTCTTTCCTTCTTCATCATCTCCTCTGTCCATCACAGAATTTTTCACTACTAGGGTAGTTCTTTGATTTAAGGTTTCTACAGTTCTAGGTAAGTACATATCACAATTTTCATTGAAAACACTTTTGTTATTCAGCCTCATTTCTGAATTTTGTTTCTTGTACTGCTCTTCTAGCATGTTGAGAACAGGTTTTAGTTTTTCAAACAGATCATTCATCCCAAATTCTACTAGTTTGACATTTAAATGTCTTAGGAGGTGAATATTCTTAGAATATTCTAGCAACTTTTTAACATCTTTTTCAAAATGTAAACAAAGTTCTGCACACAAATAATACTGTTTTTTCATTAAAGTACTGATGAGTAAACTTTCTAGAGATTGTAAAGAAATTATATGTAGATGTAGTCCATTGCACCAAACATAGATATGAGAGTTCAAAATTCTTACATCTATGATATTTTTCAATGTAGGGCTCCAAAATGCTACACTGCTGACAGCAGGATCAAAAAAATACATTCCTTCATTGTCATAAGAGAAGATAAACCTTTGGCATAACAAATAAATCTTACCAAAGCTGAAATTTTTTGAAATGCTTGCACCATTTAGACCACTCATATTCAATCTTGTAGTATCACAATCTTCAATATGTATGACATCCAAAGATCCCTGGTTTAAAGTATCACGCAGCTGGTAAGTTGCCAAAACAGATGCCTCAAAATTGACTTGCCAAATCCTTGCACCTGGCCTAGCACAGAAAATTTTTGCATCACCATTATTAATGCTGCTGGAAAATTGTTCATTGTCTTTTATAGTCTTGAAGGTAGCTCTGGAACTATGGTAAGTCTCATTTGGTGCTGTATTGCTGATATGATAAAAACAAGCACCAAAATGCCCATCTCTCAGTTTTTTGCCTATTTGCTTGAAGTGTTCTTTATCAGTATCACACAAATAAGTCCTAGTTTTTGTGGAAATCAATAAGTAATGTTTGTAGGTATCTATTTGTATTATAGTGGAGTCCAGTTGCATCAAAGTAGCAGAAGGTGTCTGAAATATTGCCTTGGTCTACAAAAAAGTAGAATTAAACATGACTGGAACATGATTTAGTTAAATATCACACCAATAATGTGGCTACTGTGAAAACAGATATCTTTCCCATATGGTCTCCACAATAAAGATCATTGCCATGCCATTTCATCACAGTCAGAGTGTTCCCTTCATGTTCAATGTGAATAAGAGGCCTGAGACTCATATCCACAAAAAAGTTTTCCAAAATTACTACAAGACCTCTGGAACTAGCAACAGCTAAGTGTTTTTCGTTTGGTGATATTGCAACTTGAATAGTAGAACCCTCCTGAAAACAGTATTCAATGTAAATATTGAAATGAATGAACTTGATAAATTACTTTGCTAGGTATGATTCTTAAAAATTGGCATGGCGATCTCTTGAAAATATAAATTCCTCCACTACTGGTCCCAAAAATTATATAAAAAGGAGAAACATCAAAACTGGTGAGCTAAAAGAAAAATACTTCCATTCATCCTATTCATTTTTTGTATTATGTATGTACCCAACTGATTATCATCATCTAATATCTATATATGTCTACTGACCTTTATACGCTGCATAGATTTGAAAGTTTCACATATCACAGACTTAACATTACTCAAGTATTCCACAAGAACATGTTTTTCCATTTTTGGTAAATCTATTTCCATTTTTCAATGATCACGATTCGAATTAAGGTTATGTGTTTTGTTTGTATTTTTTATTTTGACAATGCAAGAGCAACAACATTATAAAAGTTTTGGGATATTCCAGACAAAGATAGCAGCAAAGTCTTCATTGAAGAGACAAAGATGTCCAGACAGGAATTTTATTTGCACTTTTTTCTTATGTTGGTATTGATGCCGTTGGTAACTTGACGTTGACGCAGTGTTGCCAGTTGGCGGAGAATTCTCCGTTTTTCGGAGAATGTTGAGGTGAAGAGTCGACGGAGAATTTGACACCATCTAGTCATCATACTTCAAGGGTATAGCTAAAGTGGTATGTGTCACAGGATAGGGAATCGGAGACAGTTTATCGTCGTTGTCGGGGTATCTTCCTCGCGTTGACCCCGTTTGTTTTTTCTGCGACATACGTATATAGAGAGAAATATATACATACCTCAGTGCGTACTAAATTCACCAATGTTATACTTGTTTAATTTTCTTAATCGAACCAAGCATTAAACTATTTTTTTAATAGGGAACATGGATACTATTCAGGATCATTTAAATCATTCATAAGGGTGAAAAGTCAATTTTCAAAATTGTGTCGCAGCAGGACTCAAATTTTCTGTGATGTCTCTGATGGGCGGAGAATTTTGTGAATTTGCGAGAATTTGCCACTTCCTGGTCGAGAATTTTGGGCTGCCTCATTGGCAACACTGCGTTGACAGTTCGTTTTCGTTCGTTCGTACTTCGTATTAGTTCGTATTCCTATTTGGGTATTTGGGATTGGGACTGGCTACTGCACGGTCCGACCATTCACTAATTTAGCGTTCGGGGCCGGTCCGACCGTACAATAACATTTTGTTCGGAGCCGGTCCGATTCTATATGCCATGTGTGTAGTTTATAGATTATTGAAAAATTGAATTTTTTTTTAACAATCAATCGACCTAGATGAACCTTTTTTCTTGAAGAAGGAGAATTTTTCTTGAGGAAGGAAAATATTGTTTCTGCTTAAAAAATGAGAAGGCGGTACATATACTAAAAATTGGAACGATACAGAGAAGATTAGCATGGCCCCTGCGCAAGGATGACACGCAAAATCGTAAAGCGTTCCACATTTTTAGTATATGTACTCGCTTCGGCGGTACATATACTATTTATGAGTATATCTGTACTTGTATTAACACCAAATAAAATATTCTATTCTATTCTAACCTAACCTAACCGAACCTCACCTCTGGCCTAAACATAGAAAACCCCTAAATAAACCTATTTCCCATAGAGAATATTTTTTTTCTACAAGCGTGCGTGATTCACCCTATACCCGCACGCAATTTAGTTTGGAAAGTGTCATTTTCCCGCAACAGTACGGGAAAATTTTCCCACACTAGTGCGGGAAATTTTTTCCCGCACTAGTGCGGGAAAACAAAGATATGATATAATCGCTAGTAATATAAGTGGTTGGTGATGGAATATAAAAGTTTAAGATTGTTTGTTGCAGTATTAAGTATGTATGTTCAGAATCATCCATCAAATTGCACTATTTATTGTAAAAATTAAGAAATATTGAGAAATAAAAATGGATTATTATAAAAATCCCCCTATAGATTTGGATTGATCTGACAGGAAACGTCAATTTGTCATGCCAATCAAACCTCAAATAAGTTTGAAATTGTCGAAGTGACAGACACAGCGTTACTGTCATTTTCGATTCAGTGGAAATGCCATAATGTGATCAAAAACTTCTAGCTATAGGGATTTGATACAGATGCGTTAATATCACCAACGAAGTCTTAAGAAAGGTATGAGAAGCTATACATGCGTTTAATTGAATGGTGCAACAATAAAGAAATGAAAGAACCGAATGAAGAATAGCTATTTTTGGCTCATTCCATAGAAGTGTCTGGAACCTAGAGACCAAACTCCTAATGGGCCTGCTGGCTTCCGCAATGAACCAACATAATGCGTCAAACTGTAAGTTCACAATAGCTATTACTAATAATTAATAGATAGAGAATATATATCTCTTGTTAGTTGTTCCTATTTACTTGAATAATTAATTGAACGATTCAAACAATTTCCTATGCTTGTAGAAAAAATATTGTTCCTAACTCATGCGGAAAGTTTCTTTCCCGCACTCGACTGCTTGCCCGAACTCCGCTTCGCGTCGTTCGTGTCAACGGCAGTCACGTGCGGGAAAGAATCACTTTCCGCACTTGTTAGGAAAATTACTATTAGAAATCACTTGAGAACAAGAAAAAAATAAAAAAAAGATGAACCTCGCACGGATTCGAACCCCGGCCCACCGGCTTGGCGTGCCGATGCTCTGCTTACTGAGCCAACCAGTTGCTTACGAGACGAAGTATGAACAATATATTATTGTACGGTCGGACCGGCCCCGAACAAAATGTTATTGTACGGTCGGACCGGCCCCCAACAAAATGTTATTGTACGGTCGAACCGGCCCCGAACAAAATGTTATTGTACGGTCGGACCGGCCCCGAACGCTAAATTGGTGAACGGTCGGACCGTGCAGTAGCCAGTATCTTTGGGATTTGGGCCCTTGCTAGAGCAATGAATGGGTGAAAAATTCCTGGGAAAATAATTTTTATTTTTTTTAAGATTACTTTGATTACAAATCATTCTGTTACCAAAATTCGAAAATAGAAGGGCTAGTCCAGCATCCCCAAGTGCACGGTAAATTATAACATAATTGGAACAAAGGTGGTAAAAAGCTTCATGATAGTTGATTGTTTAAAAATTTTTTTGTCAGAAATGGATTTGTCAAGTGATAGTCCGATTTCAAAAAGCCATTTACAGTTTTTGAAAAGTCGTAGCAGATCTGCATCTCCAAATCCTGTAGACACAAGTTGCCAATATGATTCAGAAATCATAGATGTTAGTCAAATTGATTTTGATGATGTTGAATCTTGGTAAGTGATGAGAAGTCATTTCTATTGAAATATAACAATATAAGAGAGTATTGACAAGATAACAAGGAACACCTTGAAACTCAACATCAGGTTCTCAATATAATTTCTGTTTTAGGCTGACTGGTAGCCCTGAGAATCAAGACCAACATAATGTAGATGAATGCCTACTCAAAAGAGATTCTGATGCACAGAAGTATTTTGATTCTAGAACATTCACTCGTCCTAAAAAGAGGTTCACACGTCCAAGTATAGAACATTACAATGAAGAAATGTATGGGAGTGCAAGTGATTTGAATACATCAAGCATCAGACAAATGTCTGACAGTTTTGTGGTAATTGAAAATGAGGAGTCAAGTAATCCAGTGAACTTTGATTTAACCCAACCTTCTAGTATTTACTATTTTGAAAGGGTTCTAGCTGAAACAGGAGAAGCAGAATCTTTTACAAATATGTCACCCCCTAGTTTGGTGAACTCCATGTGTTCTTCAACATTTGCCAACTTAATGGACAGTAGTTTCATTGTCAATGACCCTATTCTGAGAGAAATACGTGATGCAGACATTGCTGAGTCTGTTTTGCTTCAAGACTGTGAACCACCCATGTTCCAATCTATTACAGAAAGTTGTAGCAGTATTAATTCTGACTCACCTGAGAGTTTTTTGAAAAAAATATCTTTCAATGGTACATTTAAGCAAAATACTAGCAAGGAGTCTGATACAACAATCACTGAAGATAAGATTGGTGATAGCAGTCCCCTGAAGGTTGATGGAACATTTGAAATTGATAGAACAACAGGTGAGTTATTTTTGTTTACTACAATGATTTCATTAGTCATTTCAAATCATTTGATGACACTTTGTAATTCTGGTAGGTGTGGATTTTTCAGTTGATTTTTATTACTTCTGTTTCTACTGGAAGGGATTTATTTCTATTTTTTCCCATGTCTATTGAATCTAAATTGGAACTGAAATTTCCTCTTCAATATGTACCATATCAGGTAGCAATAACACATTATTTATCACTCTAACCTTGCTGAATACCTAATTAAAATAATTATTGAACATTTTGAAATTCCTACTGAGCAATAATTAGAGATCATTTTTTCTGAACTCATTGTTCCCATCTCATTATATTTCCAAAGTTTTATTTGTTTGGCATGATTAGAAAAGGGAATGCCTTATTTGCCATTGAAAAAAATCTGAGGGAGATTATGAGATTCTCAAAATGCAGAAACACTTGGGTACACTTGGGGTTCCAGTTAAAAAAAAGTGAACCTGCAGAGCATGATTTAAGAATAGGCAACATAGGGGCCTGCACCAAAAAAAAATACAAAATAATGTCACTGGTCATGTTTTATAGTTTGTTCTAGTGCATACTTGATACAATATACCATGATTGTGAATGTACAGAAGAACAGGGCTAGTGAACTTCTGATTTGTGAATGTACTATATTATTATATATTAGTAAAATGAATATGAGAACAGTGAAAAGCACATTAGTCATAGAAGGTGGATATATCAACTTAGTGGAAAAGAACATGAAATATTGCTTTCCTAATGTAGAAGCAGTATGATGAATGTACCAATCCTTGATGGTTACTAATTGCTCTGCAGAAAGATCATTCCCTGAACTGAAGCTGATCAAGAACAGACTCCGGACCTCTATGTCAGAAGACAGACTAAACTTTTTGGCTTGCTTAGCAAGAACATCACATTCTGAGAGTCAACCATGAGAATATCATAAACACCTTCATTATAGAGAAGCCTAGATGGAAACTAATCAGCAAGAGTGACTGAAATGAACATGATTTGCAGTACATTTGATATTTAAAAAAGATTTATTTAAGATATACCTATGATCTAATGAAGGTAGAAGAAGTACTTCTTGTTGACATGTACATTAAAGTGTTGAAGCTTTGTTTACTTTTGTGGCTCATTTTCACTGAAAATATCCTGTGTTATATATTAATAATGTTGAAGTTCCCTTGAAAATCACCATTTTGCACCTGATTTCTCAAAATGTTCAGATGCTTCACTAGCCCAGGGCCCGCACCACAGATGGAGCCTAGGAGCCTTTTTTTTTAATCCGAC